TTGTTATTGGATCATAATTTGCTTCTATAACTATCACTCGACTCGAGAGTGCAATCTCGATTTTTTGGTAGAATAAGCCGGGAACATCTATTGTAGTTTGGGTCATGTGAATCCGATTAGGTCCCTCTCTTGACTTCAATAAAAGGTGTGTGACTTAATTGATCCACTACAATAAAGTCCAAGGAAATTTGCGCAATTTCCAAACCCTAATAGGGCATTATAAAATGCACTTTATTGACATTTTTATATGAGAATTAGGGTTAGCCACTTTTCATTTTCCTCAAAAGGAAATAAACCTTGTGAGAGCAAGGGAGAAGATCTAAGGGAGGAAGCAATTGGCTAGGCTATTAAAAGCTCTTTCAAAAGGTTATCATCTCTCCTTCCTATGTGTGAGGATTTTATAATTCAATGATCTCAAGATCACTAAAATCCTTATTTACATGGTTTTAATCTTCAAAAGAAAATTAAATTCCTATTGTGATAATTAAAATTCATTAACCAACAGAAGCATGTTATACTCAAATCAGTTTTCTTTATAAAAATGCCCACAACTTTAAATAACAAGTCGAAATTCTGCCTTCAGTAAACATATACAAGAACCAAAGTAACCAAGAAAACTTTTTCTAGATGATTCGAGCTGTGTTCAATGAATCACTATGCCACATAAGCCTAAAATAGAGAGAGAACGTTCTTGCCTCCTAAAATAAAGATAGCATTGTCACTACATGATTCCAAACGGCACAAAACAGTGCCACATGGATGCCAGGCTGGAACCATGTATAAAGAAGGAAGCCATGTGACCAACCAAAACGATGTCAGTGTAAAATAAGGACAAGCTAAGCTTCGCCCTAGCGGACAAGGCGAAGCTATAAGACCATTTCTCCCTAGGCTTTGCCAGACAGGGCCATACCTTTGAACTCACAGAACTCATCCATGATTTAAATAAGAGATTGACTCGTCTCAGCCCAATGGGCCAAGTTTTTATAAGCTAACCAATTTACTTGGAGTCATTTGGATCCCAGCAAAGATGCACCAATCGAAGCTATGGAGTCACTCAGGAACCTTGTCCCCCAATGGGGAGCAAAAAAATACCCTCTTAGTCACGTAGCAGCAAAGAGGAGCTTCCATGTGGCAAAACTATTAATGGAGTACGTGCATAAGGTGATCTAAAGAATCTAATGAAAGTAACCAGCTAACCAACAGGTGAACACCACTTGTCAGAGATGAAACTATCTAGAATCAAAATATGATTAGAACCCCCCAACGGCGAGGTGACGTGTCCAGAAGTAAAAAGGCTAAAAAGCCCATAGGCTTGCGATATCTATAAATAATTAAGAATATCATAAGAAAAGCAAGTGAAAGAAACCCTAGCAAAGTTCTTGCTCTTCATCATCTAGCCTTGATGGAGAATTCTCGGTAAAGTAGCTCTCAAGGTGCTCCAAATGACCAGAAAAGGCTATATGAAGGGTGATTCGACAAGGAGGAGACAAGGGACTTGTTGGTTTCAAGTTTTCGAGACCAACAAGCATAACAATGAATGTGTTTATTTCATACCTCAACTAAGGCACTGCATCTTCTGTCCAGTTTAGCAATCATGTGAAGAGCTTCGGATTGGAAAGGAGAGTTCTCTCCAACGAATATCAGCGTTCGGCATCCAAGTGTTCTTAAACCTTCACTGATGTCTGATCTCCTGCTCATTGGCAAAATGTAGCTTAAGGGAGTGAGTTTTTAATCAAACAATGGAATTCTAAATAAAGCTCAGCTTTGTAATTACCTATCTAATGCTTGTAGAAACCGCAGGACATTTATGCTCTGCCTCTCATCTAGCAACTGAAAAAAGCATAAACAAATTAAAAGAGATTCCATACAAGTTAAGCTCCAAAAGTATAGTTTAATCACAAAAAGTCAATAAAAAATGGAAAGAAAGATGGCATTGAAGCAGTAACTCTTCTGCATGCTTGAACTATATCTGATTCTGGAACCTCAGAACTGCCACGGACTTCCTGGTACAATTAAGAGAAAAATCTATATTAGATAATATCCTAAAAGGAAAGATTGACAGATTGTGGAGAGGCGGAAAGGCGGAGACTGAAAATAGATATTAAATTACCTTGCTGAAATACCGAGAAAGTAAATATTCCTTTAGCAGCCCACACATGCCATAGAAATATAGCAAATTTGACATCACCTACACATTTTAAATGATCTCAACATTCACTTGGGAATTCCTTTTAGTAATGTACGAGTTATAGAGAGGGAAATAAATTTTACCTTGTTATGGAACCATTCAGTCCAAGATGGAGCTTTGCACAGAGGGGAAACAAGGATCAAACCAAGAATCCGCTCCTTGTATTTCATCTGTGACATACACTACAGTGAGATGTAAAAGTTTAAAAGATCAGGACTATAATGCTGAAACAGCTAAATAAACCGTACAGCAAACAAGGTGAGGATGTAAGCGCCAGCCGTCACACCCATGCCCATCACTGCACCGAGCCTGAACGAAGTTAATCTCGTCTTATTAGGAGAAGTTTCATTATTAGTTACATAATAATGATTTTATCAAGTAGCAACAAACGTAACAAGCAACAAAATGGGATGCAACTAAGTCATATTTTGATAAATTTGGAGTTGGTCTGTTTGATCCATTTCTAAGTCTACCAAGAGATCTATTACAAAGAAATAAAATCCTTGGCAACCACATCAAACCACGTAAATTTCAGTTTCATCAATCTTGTGAACAACTTCATTTCCCTAATTTATTCTCAATCGTACGTTACTTAATATTCTCATTAAGATATGTCCATAAGATGATTGTTTCGAGTCTTCCTTGTTAATAATCAAAACTGAATACCTAAAATGATCACTCTCAGCAGCGGCAGAGCCAGAAATTTTCCCAGGGGTCTGGTTTCTTCACAGCTCATCTATTGGACTGAAAAATTGTTAAACTGTGACTTCACAAATAACAAGCCAAATATAGCTTGTTAGAAATGAATTTTATAATCCTAATTTTTATCGTCAAGTTTCCGTATTTAATATAGGGAAAATTCCAAGCACGGACAATGAGAAATACAAGGTCTCACAAGCGAACTAAAGGTTAGGTTTAAATTAGCAATTCTTTTCCTCAGCCCTATAAGGAAGCACTAACTACCATACAGTACAAATTTGGAAAATTTAACGATATTCAAATTAATCCTTAATTAAGAGGTCAAAATTGGGTATTTCAGTGTAAAACGATATAAAGACCTTCATGACAATTTCGTGGAAAGTTTGAGTCAGGATTTGCTCTAACAAATTTCTAAATTTGAGTAGATCGAGTTATAAATTCCTAGCTTGATGCAGGGATGAAATTTTCTTTTATTTTTGGTGCCTAGATCTTTCTCACAATGTTGGTTATGTGTGGTAAATATTTGGGAGAGAATGGATAAAAGAATGTATACAGCTTTTGTACTTTGCAATTTTTTATTTTTTTATTTTTCCAACAGATACATGTTTTTGACCTCTAATGGTTGAAGACTTGATTTGATCATGCCTATAGTTATTAATATATTATACTTCAATTGAAAGCAGCTAAACTGACTAATAAAGTGAGAAATTGTGTGGGTTATGATTGGGGGTGTCAATTTGACAAGCTGGTAGGGCCGAGAAAAGCCCGGGTCGGTCCGGCTCATGGCTCTGAGGAACTGAGCCCATTTTGGGGCATTGGCTCGAGCCCAAGTCACATGGGCCAGCCCATAATGAGCTAAGCCTTAAAAAAAGTATAAATAAATAAATAAATAAATAAATAATAATAATAACAACATGAAAAAGGTTGCATCAAAGCAACTACGCGTAGCAGTAGCTGCCTTCTTAAGGTAGCGTATCCTTACGGAAGCAATAGTTGCCACCATAGCTAATTTGAAGTTTGAACACGTATTCAAATTTGAAATTAAAATTTAGCTGAAAGTGAAACGGATATATATATATTTTTTTTTAGCTATAAATATGAGGTAAATTTTGAATTTCATATCAATTTACTTCAATTAATTTTAACTTGTAGTATTCTAGCTTCAACTTCAATATCCAATTTCTTTACTCTAATATTCAATTTCTTTTACTTTAATGTTCAATATCTTTTGTTACAATAGCCATAGATAGATTTTAGTTGTGATAAGATTAATAAGTTTAGGGGTAGTTTGAGTACTACATCCGACCATGATGCATCGATTTGGAGGATATCAAAGAGTAAGAAATACTCGAGACTAAAATGTCGAAAGAATCCAAGGATTTTTGGCAACATATGACACTAAGAAAGTTGGTGTTTAAAATAGAGGTAATATTTGGAAAGCATGTTGCAATTACTATAATAAAGAACTAAGTTGGAAGCCCGATTTAAGGATTATGCATTTGAATAGGCATGTACATATTAAGGAGTTGCAAAGCAAAACCAACCGAGCTTGACCCAAAACAATTCGAATTAGTATTTGGCGATTCTAGTTCTAGTCGTTCCATCGTTGTATATTCACAGGAAAGATATCGTGAAGGAATGACTGCATAAGTAGCTGCAATAGAGATACCGCTTACAACTGTAGTGTTATATCGTTGACCCTGATTTATGGACCGGTGAAATAAAAAATGTTATATTACTGCTACGATTCATTACATTGATCACATGTGGCTTCTACATAATAAGATTATTATATTCAAATGTGTAGAATATCGTCATAATGACACTAACATATACATGGTCTTAAAAGATATTATACAAAAATATAGTATACAAAAAATGGTTCGAAATTTTAGTTTTGAAAATGCTAGTGTGAACAAAAGTTTTATAAAAAAAATTTATTAATTAACTTAACCCCACATTTGGTAGTTTATTTTTCCTCAACATTGTGTATGCCACATTATCAATTTGATTGTAAAAGATAGATTAAAACATATAAAATTACCTTTAGATAAAATTTGACAAGTAATAAATTTTATTATTATGTCACCAACAAGAAAGCAAGCATTTAATAGTTTTTTGTGCAGAGTATGACTTACAAGATAAATCATTTGTCACTGATCTAACAAATAGATGGAACTATACATATCTTATATTACATTCGTGTGAAAATTATTTTACTATATTATAATGATAGACATACATACAGACCCGAATATAATTTGGAAGATCGTGAATGTCTATTGCATTTTGTGTGAAAAAATTCTTAAAACCTCTTTTTGATGCCATAAAGGAATGTAACAGTGTTTATCATCCTACATCTTCACTTGTTTTACAACAATTTTTCAACATTTCACAAACATTTCATAAATATGGGAATTTGCCAATTTTGTTGAAATAGTCTACTCTATAGAGTTAAAATTTCATAAATATTGGAAAGAGTTGTCTTCTTTATTTCTTTTAGCTTCGTTGATGGACCCTCAACTTAGTTTAACTAACATAAAAGCTATTATAAAGAGGATTACAAATTTCATGAATGTGAAATTATCATACGTGCATATAGAATCTATGTAATGTGAAATATATAACTATTATGCTGAAAAAGGAGATCAGGACAGTTTTACTTCCAAAAGTTCTTTTTCAAGAAATATTTCATCAAATTTAGATGATATAAGGAATTATTTGGACACTAATACAAGTGTTCCCTCATTTAGTTCTAGTTCATCAATATCTAGATCGATAGATATTAGTAGTACAAATCTTGAAATTCCCTCTAAATTAGATAGGTATATATATATGCATGGACGTTCATAGTGTGTTACAACCAAAAGAATTACACGAATTTAGTCTTCTATTATGGTGAAAGTGTAACAAAAGGCAATATCCAATTGTATAAAAAATTGCATGTGATCTACTAACACCTTTGATGTCTACAGTAGCATCGTAGGCTGCATTTAGTTTAGGTGGTCAAATTCTATCAAACGAACAATCAAGACTAAAAGAAGATATATTTGATGTTTTAATATGCTTGATGGACTAGGAATGTGTGGAATTACGTATTCAACAACAAGGTGATAGCATAATGGCTGAAAAGTTATAGCAAATCCAAACATAGGATATTATAAGTTTTGAAATTGATTAGTTCAAAAAAATAAGTAATTTTAAAATTTATTTATCTTAAAAAAAATTGTATACGAAATATTTTATTGTGCATAATTTTAACTTCGCCTACGTAGTCAGTCCTAAGCCTAAAAAGGAGGAAAGTTGTAATTTTTATTTAATTTATAATTCATATAAATTGCAAAAATTTTAAATTTCTTAAAAACTTTAGAATTGTCATGAATTAAAAAAAGGCGAGCTAGCTCAGGTCGACCCTAGATTTATTGGCCAAGAAAGCTAGGCTCGGCGTAGGCAAAAAAAAACCCAAACCATTTTTACTCAATCTGATCCCAAGCATTGAGTTTTTGTTCGCGAGCTGGCTCAGTTCGACTCGTTGACATCTCTAATTACAATGCTATTTCATGCTATAATTGGGGCCATAAAAATATGGATCGAAGTTAAAGTGTTGTTTAAGAAAAGGTTAGTAAATACATTGTTTATAGTCAGAATTAAGATATATATAAGGTGGTGTAACGGTGTGAATGTTTAATAAGATCAAACTTAATTCCTAGAGATAGAAAATAAATTCATGACCACTGATGTTAGATAAGACATCTGGGGCACATGAGTGGCATTGTACTTTGGATGTGAAGTAAAGATCAATCAGTACCTGCAATTATTATCCATGTATTTTTGAGACAATATTTAAAAGACATAAATTTGGCCTCATTTAATAGCTTAAGCTTTTAGGTCAAGTGGTTCAACAATATTTTACAAAAATATATATGTTGCCTCATAATTGTTCTTGTTTTATGATAGAAAATTTTTATATCTGCTTCAAGTTAAAATTTATTACATGTTTTGTTTTAAACATATGGTACGAAATTTTAAGGATCTGAATATTGGGGTGTAACAATAACATCTTCCGCAATCATAGTATGAGTCATGAACGTCCACATAATATGATTCATGAACACCTATATAATTTAAACAATCTTGAAACAATTTTATTCTTTTAAGTAGAAATTATAACACCTTTTATCAGTTCATATGGCATCTTTATTACCATACATTTTATGAGCTGTTAGAAGTAATTTCCCTATCATTTGTAATTTCATCGCTTTGAAGAGAAACTTTGATTTACATGTTTAATGCACTTAACTTGGTATTTAATACATTAACTTGCTTTAAATGTATTTCCATTCTCCCTCATATCAAAGATAACTTGTGAGCTTTCACGGCATCGTTAGTTCTAAGACAACTATGCAATTTCTCATATCTTTGATCTCAACACTCCAAAATAGCCTCTTATCTTCAACTTTAGCAACTGTCACATTTTGACTTGAAACTAACAAAATAGAACACTAACAATAAAAAATATCCCATCAAAATTCATGAAGTATATGATTACCTAAAATAGTTTAGAACTTCAAGAATCTGATCCGTTAAATCATCAACCGAAGGCACTGGATCTTCAGGATTAAGTGCTGCAGCTCCCAACTGCAAGAGCTCATATGAATTCCCACGAGAAAGTCAACGTCAGTTATAAAATGCAGTGGAAATAATGTGTAATATAGTCAGTAAATAACTGATACAGGAAAGATGCCAAAGTATTTACACAATCACAGACGGGTTGGCCAAATTACAGACCTCATGCCCAGGCGGACAAATGTGGTAAATGCAGAAATTGTGAAGCAGCAAAGATGCAGCTTCTGGACAGAAGAACAATTGTTGGAAACAAGACATGTCTGCATGAAATATAATGTCCCAAAGAAAAATTTCAGAGACTGCAGCTAAAAGAAACCTCGTTGCTCAAAAATTTAAAGCTAAATATAAAAAACTGTGACTAAAGATAATACTAAAAGTAAAAACAATTACTATCAGAGCAAACTTATCACTCACAATTTAAAGCTAAATCTGGATAAGTGATCAGAGCTGGCTTATCTTGGTCTCCATAAATTATAACAGAGATAGAACCTTGGCCAGTTCGTATAATATGCTGCTGAGTGAAGAATAATATAAGCACAATTATATACACAATTTTACTAACAAAAAGAAAAGTAATAATACTCACATTGTAAAAAATCACAATGAGACTGAAATTGCTGCTGTACCAACCAGATTTGCCCAGAAGAAAAAGGACTAAATGCAGGAGAGGAAAATTTCTAAACATGACCAAATAGAAAAGAGAAAATAATAAACGGCTGACATGTTACATTTCTTTAGAATTGCAAAAGGTTTCAGTTTAGTTAGAGTATTGCTAAAATACCCTTCTTCGTCCCTTCTCTCATTTGGAAGTTCTCAACCCTGCACTCAAGTGTGTGAGAATAAGGGGATTTGTCCTCAACATCAACGATGTTGCAAAAGAAATAATGTAGCAAAAAATATTGAATTTTAAACTTGATTTTCTTGAAGCAGAAAGTATTGAATTCTATGGAATTGACTAAAGTTCAATTCTGTACTCGTTGCCTTTACTACACAGCTTACACTTTTGTGTTGAATTATTACTTTTATTTGCCTAAAGAAGTTCTTTGCTTTTTAAGGAGGTACATTGATGGCATGTTTTGTAACTGAAGACATGACAAAAAGAGGATGATTAGCAAGTATTAACTAATAACATTCAGCAATCAGAAGAAAAAATAGAATTCAAGAAATGAAAAATTAAGATAATGTTCATTTTAGCCAACTGAATTCAAGATTTCTCATCAACCTGATAAAACAGCAGTCAAGATCCTTTCATCTCTTTGATTTTCATACCAAAAGTTCAAACAAAAATAAATAGAACTAAAAATGCTTGAACCCAATGAATAAAATAGAACAAATTCCATTTAAAGAAACCCATTAATAGACATGCAAACCTAGCAACTATTAGACTTTGAATGTCAAAACCTAGATATAAAATTTTATGAAAAAACAAAATGTGAACCCATAGATAGACAGAAATGTAACCTTCCCTCCAAGGTAGATTGTTTCCACATTGACAGAAACCGAGTCGCTCGACTCTGCCATGGCCGTCGGCTCTCCCTCTCCCCTCAAACACCCTTTTATTTTCTCTGTATCTATATGTTTCTCTCTCTATATTCGCGAATATATTTGACTATACACATATAAATGTGGTTGATCATGTACCAAGGGAAGCGATTCTTTCTCCACCTTTTATTTTCTCTTTCCGTATCCAGCTGAAAATCTCTCTCACAAAAAAAAATTGAGACAGGACAGACAGCCTAGCAGACATTTTTAGGCCGAAAATGACACTTGTACATAAATCACCGCATCAATTCCGCCGAATCTTATGCTCTTTTTCCATAATTATAATTCTTGTGTCTACGAATATACATATTTATAATATTTTTATTATAAAAATTTAAAATTATAGCTACTGCCTACTTTAATATTTTTAGAGTTTTGCTAAAAAAAACAAGGCCACATAACAAGCACCTTGTCAATAGGTAGAAAAACAGGGCTTACATGGCCCTGTTTGAGAAGAATTGTTCATATTTTTAATGGGATCAAAATGGGGTGTGGCATGCTAGGATAGAAGCGGTCCTCCCATCGGGATCATTGTTAAAATATCTTTATTTTCTGTCTCATTTATTTTATTTTATGAGGCATTTTAAAGAATGTTCAAATTTAAAGGTATGAGTTAAAAAGTGTCCATTCATTTGAATTTGGTATCAATTTATCTATTATGTCCTTAATGAAAAGCTACATTTTGAAATGGTATTCTTGACCTTTGATTTTTTTATCAATTTGTCACGAATTTTGAGAAGTGACTTCCATGAGAAGTTATATTAAAATAAATTTGGACGACCAAAAAATTAAAAAAAATTAAAAATTAAAAAAAAA